TTTTTTGCGAATAATTTGATACCACACACTTGGTATTTTGAGTCAAATTTTCGTGACGAATCGCAAATTATAATTTCAAATAAACCATATGCGAAAATGTCAAAAGTTGTCATATTCTATTCTGAGTGTCATTTTTTATCGAATAAATTAAAAAATACGGAGGGTGCCATTTAAAAATCAAAAGTTGTAGTCATTTCCGGAACAGTTGTAGTTATTCACAGGAAGTGACCGAAAACAATTGAATACGTCAATCAATCCTAATTTATGTCATATATTAACACACCAAATATCGTTTTTAACAGAAAAAAATAATAAAGTTATAGGGGTGAGTCACTTTCGAGACGCAGCCGGTATACGATGTGCCATTTAGAAAATTTTATTTTTTTAAATTTTAAATAGGTTGTTGAAAGTTGTTGAATGATAAATATATTTCAAACACCCTGTCGCCATCTAAAGTAAAATATCTTTACATATATTTTTTCCTCATCTCTATAAAATTCTCCTACAAAATTTGAGCAGTTCAACTTCAGAAACAATGTCATCACTGACAATTTTTTTACTACACTAAAATCTAGCATTTCTTTAAACAAATTCAAATTTTATATAAACTATTAATTTTAGGTGTATAATATCACAAATAAAAAGTTATAGAATTGTACGCAGAATCCAAAAATAAAATAAAAATAGAGTGTTGCATTTAAAAAATGTAACTCACTATAATAATTTTAAAATGTGTATCTTAAACTTCCTTGTAATATTTAACATTTTGTTGTAAATCTGAAAACAAACGAAATAACACACTTAACTCCTATGCGTGACTCACCCTGTACATAAACGGTTTAGCAATTTTGGTATATTAAATTTAGCCTGTTGCTTCTAATTTTAATGTAATTAAACTCTTCTTATACAATCAATTAATATTTTGCGTTAGTAAATTATATCGGTAATAATTTTTGAGAAAGAAATAATATGTGTTTTGAATATTTCCAAAATATTTTGTAGCTTAATACAGCAGCGTATAGTTAACATACTTCATGTGTAACTAAATTGCTGTTGTTAAATTTTTACGACATTCTTGGAAAACATTTATTTTCTTTTTTTCTGGCTATCACCATTAAGTTATTTGTATCTTGTTTTATTGTTCTATTTTCGCATTCTTGCTAAATTTAGATTTATATCAGTGTATTGTTAAGTTTTCTACCAAATTCCAACAGAGGATTCTAAACAATAAATTTTGAAAAAATATAGGTTGCCCAAATTGTATTTTCTACAATGTCATACTAAAATACTAAAATAAATACGATTATACAACTCTATGTATATTTTTCCTATATAGAAGGATGTGATTAATAAGTGATAATTATTTAAGTGATTATGGCTTGTTGGCTATATTGTAATTGCCATTTTTTGAAATATTAATTCAGGAGTCATTTCTGTCAGTTCCACAAAATATCCCGATCTTATTACAAAATGGCATATGTACTTTATTTCGTTGTATAATCTTTTGAATAAAGCTGGATGTTTCGGGATTACCTAATATTTTACCTGACACTCAATGCAATACCGGCAACATTACGACTCCAAATGAGGAGTAATGTTGATTTAACGCATTTCGTGTCAAGTAAAAGTATTATTCGGTAATCCCGAAACATCTTGTCTTATTAAATTCGAAAATTGAGCTTAACAATACTTTAAATTAGGCATCAAATATCTCAAAATATTACTTTTTCCTTGCTTTAATTTTTTTGCTGTTTTCTATTTTTATTAAATCAATTATTTTAATAACTTATCACTAACTTATCAAATATTATTCGAAAAAGTATTTCATACATATATACGTAGTATGATAGGAAGTGAAATTAAAATTCATTAATGTAATTAATTCACTTATCTATTAAAAAAAAGAACGGGATATACATTGCAGAGAGCTTTCAAAGTTAAAAACAGACGCCGCTTCGTTCACTTCTCTCTTGTCGCTAGAGGTGGGATGTGAAATCGCAGTCCGCTACTTTGTCACAGCTCCACCAACGTCGCAGTATGTGACTGCTCCAGTTCCAAGAAAATCGCAGTGACATTTCGGAGCAGTTTACAAGTTTAGGACATCTGCGCTCGTGAGTAGCAATAGGAGCAATAGCAGGCAATAGTGTAAATTCTGAAAATGCTCCTAGCCCCGTCGCCCGGTCAGACTGTTCCAGTCCAGTCACAGTCGTCGCAGGTCGCAGTCGACTGGAGCATAGTATATTGAGTATATTCTGTGTACTGGAGCTGTTGGGAGTTTGGGAACGGGAAACGTAGCAGCGTTCGCTTTTTCTTTCATGAATCTAAATAAGATATTTATGTATTATATATTAATTACAAACAGATGTTTTTGACAAAGGTAATTTTTAACTTGTTAGTATGTTTATTTGTTAGTTAATTTTGTATCTGTGTTTTGTTGTATATCCTAAATATTTTATTTGATCTTATACATTCATATAAGTTTTATTATTTATATCTATTTTTAAGGTCTGATGATGGCTAAATAGCCGAAACCGGTCACTATTAAAGATTTTTTTGACAGTTTCGACTTTGAATGGAATATAACATTAAGTTTTTACCATGGGCCACCACTCGGTGAAAATGAACAGACTCTTTAAGATATTTATAGCAAAGTGCTTGGTACTTAGAAACACTAAAATTCTCCTGAATAGACTAAAAAAATATAGCAACATCTATCAAACTAAGACATCAGTATAGTACCGTACAGCCGCGATTTTAAGAGCTCTAGGGGCCCGTAGTTCGGAAAAATTCGAATCTTGTTCGCAAGGGCCCGGGAGGCTTGGGGCCCGTCGGTGACTTACCCCGATTGCACAGACGTTAAAACCGCCACTACTGATCGAAATAAAAAACGGCGTCCAGTTGGCTTGGAAATGACAATCGATAACATTCCCCATAAATTTTACATATAAAATGCCAGCAATCTTCATTTCATAGCTATCGCTGACGCCGTTTTTTCGATCATACGATATAAATAAATAAAAACTAGACGATGATGTTGCCTCATCATACTCACACCTATAGTCCTGTACTTTTTAGTAATGCAACGAACGGTGCCGAACACCGAGTGCGATTTTTCGGAGCGATTATCCTATAAAACTACATTTTTAATTTATAGGTTAATTGCTCCGAAAAATCGCTGCTACTTGTCACAGTGCTTTTATTGGAGCAGTCGCAGAGCGTAGCAGCTCCACAAAAATCGCAGACTGGCCCACCTCTACTTGTCGCTAACTGCCTTTCGCGCGCATCTCCCACTTCTTGACCGTTACGAAGGCGCTCAGGGTCGTCTTCGGCGATGGCCTACGATGGTTCAGCCCAAACCGGACGCGGCAGACCACTATGCCGGTAGCGACCGTAAAATATTGTTACAGTCTCCCCTCTGGTTCCGTGGACATTGAGATGTCGAGGGACCAGCACTAGTGTGGTTGGTTTTCTTCGGGCGGCCTCTTCTTCTGATAGGAACTTTAGGTTCTGTAGCGTCATCTCCACGATACTTGAATATGTTGCTACAGTGATAAAAGCCTAAAGGTTGTCCTGGAGTATCAATGTTGGCAATTTCATAAGAGACGGGCAAAACCTGTCTAGTTATGACATAGGGTCCGTCCCTTTTCGGGTCAAATTTAGTAGTACTCTGTTTAGTGTGACTACTCTTCGTATGTAGCGTCACAAAAACCTTCTCTCCAACATCAAAAGTGGGCGGTGTCGATCGTGAGTTATCGGCATACTTCTTTTGACGATCTTGACATTTTTCATGCTGGCCTTTAGCTTCTATAATCGTTGTAAACATTCCTTGCAGGTAAAGTGTTATTTCTGGGATAAAATTTTCATTTTCCCTAACAGGCCGTGGATCATTCTGTACTTCATCAGGATTTCGCATTTCTCTTGCAAAGTTGAGGTAAGCAGCACTAAAACCGGTTGTTTGACACTTGGCACTATTCATGGCAAATCGTATATTTGGTAATTTTTCAGCCCAGGTTGTATGATCAGTTACCATTAAAGCTAATCTTGGCTTGAGGTCACGGTTCTTCCTCTCTACCATGTTTGCTTGAGGATGAAATAAAAGAGTCAAATTTTGTTTAATCTTCAGTTTATCACAAACATGTTGCATAATATGTGACACAAACTGAACTCCGTTGTCTGAGATAATTGTGCGTGGAAAGCCATAACGTAGGAATACTTCGTTAATCAGCATCTTGGCACATTCTTCTGCAGTAGCTTTCACCAAAGGAAATAATTCTACCCATTTTGTAGCTGTATCTTCAATGATGAATACCCATTGTTGTCCAAGGTCGTTTTCTGGCAATGGACCGAATAAATCAATAGCTAAGACTTCAAATCGTTGATTATAAGCTGGGGTTTGCACTAATCCAGCTGGTTTTTGATTGGTGGCCTTGTAGCGTTGACATTCGATGCAATTCTTGATATAATCGTTAATGTATTGTCGCATACCAGTAAAATAGTATAATCGAGCTATTCTTTGGTATCTCCGTTCAGTACCATAATGAGCAGCAGTAGGTGAATCATGGTGCTCTTGCAATACTCGTTGTCTCTCATGTGTTGGTACTACCAATTGAGCTTCTTCGGAGTCACCATCAGCATATTTGTATAGTATTCCACTACTAACAATGTATCCTCTTGCTGTCCATTGACTGAAGTTTTCTCTGGATCTACTTGAATGCCATTAGAGGTGATCAAATGTCCCAAATATTTTACTCGTGGAGTCGCAAATGTACATTTATCATGATTCGCACATAGTTTGTACGTTATGAGCCTTTCGAAGACACGTTTTAAGTCTGTCATATGTTGATCAAACGTTTCAGATATCACCAGCACGTCATCGAGGTAGGCGAGTATCAGGATAGATGGAAGTCCACTTCGAAATCTGTCGATCAGCTTTTGGAAAGTTGCTGGTGCGTTACGCAGACCGAACGGCATGACCAGGTACCGAAATGTTCCGAACGGGGTCACGAACGATGTTTTGTCTCTATCTGTTCCCGCACTTTCACTTGATGATATCCCGCACGTAAATCAATGGCTGACATGTATATAGTCTTTTTGGTTGCATGCAGTAGATCGTCCATTCGAGGTAACGGATAATGCACGGGTGTCGTAATAGCGTTCAAAGCTCTGTAATCGCAACATACCCTAGTTTCGCCATTCTTCTTTGGAACGAGTACTACCGGTGCTGACCAAGCTGACTCACATTCTTCTATAATGTCATCTCGTAACATCTTGTCTAGTTCTTGTCGAAGTTTTTCTTTGTTTCCAGGCGTCATTCGGTACGGTGGTACTGAAATTGGTGCGTGTGACTTGGTATCAATATAGTGTTCAGCATAAGGAGTTGGTTCTCCCCCTAGAGCGAAAATATCCTGGTTGGCTTCAAGAAGGTCTGATAACTGCTTATGTTCTTCACTGGATAACATTATGGCTTCATCTGATCTCAAAATTGAAACGGAAAGTACTTCTATATTGGAAATTTTGTGGTCATCTTCATATACCAAGGGATACTTAGTCAAAATATCGTCTGCAAAACTCCAATTTTGCTGTCCGATGTCCAGAACAAGGTTAGCACTTCGAAGGAAATCTATGCCTAGTAAGGTTTTGTCAGCATTGGGTAGAGTCATAAATGTTGTTGGTATATAACGACTTCCTAGTAAAACATCAACTCTCAGAAGTTTTACTTCCTGTTCTTTCACGGTACCATCTGCAAGTTTAATCGTACTTCTGGTTTTTGTATACGGAACGTTGTGTTTCCTTAATGCTTCGTATAATGAGCCACTGGCAACGCTGTGCTTGGCGGCTGTGTCAATCAGTCCTTGACCATTCATTCCTAGTATGTTTATAGGCAAAATAGGACGTGACTGAGGGTAAACAGGAACTTCTACATTGTCAAGAGCACAGAATTCGACAGAAGCTGCGGTGTTGGAACAAGTTGGACAGTTGGATTTAATGTAGCCAGGTCTATTACATCCGTAACATGTCACTTGATTTGATATTCGGGGAGGATGACTTTCCAAGGTCGAATTTGGAACAGATGTCACTGGATTACTTGGTGAAGGCGCTGTAGTCGAAGTTTTTGTTGATGTACTTGCAGTACCTTGTTTCTTTCGGCACTGGTCTTCTGTATGTCCCAAATATTTGCAAAATCGACATTTTGGACGTTTATCGTTAGAAGGCCTGTCAAAATGATCAACAAACGTTTCTTCTACCATGCGACATTCTTTAAGTAATTCGTTAAAAGTACGGATTTTATCTCGAGGTACTTTTTCTCGTATTCGTTTATGTAACAAGCCATAAATCATATCAATCTGCGTCGACTCAGTTAGGGTATTTGCTGGAAGTTGCGCAAGCAATGAACGCGATTGACAGATAAATACATCAGAAGGTGTTCTAATATCTTGTTCTTTTGAAAATATTTCCCGATATACAAGATATGCTGGTTTTCTTGGACCGAAAGTTAGACGTAAAAGATCGAGAGCAGTTTCCCAAGTTGCGACAGTGTCTTTTACTCCGTACCACCACGTAGCGGCAAAATCATCGAGTAGCATAGATAAACCACGCAGAGCGTTCGCGTCGGACACTTTTGAGCAGTCTTTGAAGGTTTCTATAGCGTCTATAAAAGCATTTACGTCAGAGTCTTTGCTACCGTTAAAACGCGACGAACATGAAGAGAAATTCCCTGTTTCCAACGACTGTGTTGACAAATTACTGATGCGTGATAAGAGTGCTTCAAATTGTTGCTGCGTAAGAGTGACGTTTGCTTCTGCCATGTTACGTAATTTAGATGTTTTTCTACTACTGTGGCTCCGTAGCCAGTATCGGTTTTCTTCTGAAGGTTGCAGAGTGAAAAAAAAATGTTCAAAAACTTACCGAAATGATGTGGTTTTTGATTTTTTTTTGTTTTGGTTGTGAACCAAAGTGTCAACCCAAGGTGCTTGGATTGGATGATTTTGTTGAAGTTGGTGAAGCTTATCAGGGTTTAGTGTTGAATTTGCAGCCAAACGACGAGTTTGCACTATGCTGAGTAAATTTCTAGGAATTCTGTCCACACACAAATATTCCAAAATGTTCACTAGCACAATTTACAATGTTCACAAGCACTGTTTCACCACTGACTGTTCACTTTGATAAAAATGTCTATTTTTATCTTTTTAACTTTTAAAAACTCTTCATTTCACAATGTATGGCCCAAGTTGGGACGCCAAATATTATAGGAAGTGAAATTAAAATTCATTAATGTAATTAATTCACTTATCTATTAAAAAAAGAACGGGTTATACATTGCAGAGAGCTTTCAAAGTTAAAACAGACGCCGCTTCGTTCACTTCTCTCTTGTCGCTAACTGCCTTTCTGCACGTAGGCCCGAATTCCATTCGCGCGCATCTCCCACTTCTTGACCGTTACGACGGCGCTCAGGGTCGTCTTCGGCGATGGCCTACGATGGTTCAGCCCAAACCGGACGCGGCAGACCACTATGCCGGTAGCGACCGTAAAAAATTGTTACAGTAGGCTTTTTAAATACTTTGATTCTAAATAATACATTTTGAGGAGATATTGCGATTTCATATATTTAATTACGTAGGTCTTTTCAATCATTGCCTTAAGATTAAAGGTGAATTTTATTTTTAACCTCCGATCTATTCAATTGCAATGCAATAGAAAAACTTAATTCTTTTTTACGTTAAGGTATTTTCATTTACGTGTAATTTAGATAAAATGTTTCGTACGTCCGGTCTGAAAAATATAAAGGTTCTTTTGGATGAAATTGCGATGAAATATCCTTTGAAGCAAATAAGAAATGCAATTCTTTAGTGACGATATTTGCAAAGATTCTACTTTTTGTCCGGATTTACACATTTCAGAAATAAAATACATAAAAATAAATAACGGAAAATGTTCCATAAACATGATTGTGATAGATTTAATACATATTTCACTTTAATATCACTCATAAGAAATATATCTAAATAAACTGAAATTTTGTTTTGTAAGCTTCGTAAAATTATTAGTTTCTGGTTTTAATTTTATTATTGCCACTTAACTGCTAATATAGAAATTTAATTCCACGCTGTGTCTGTCATAATGTGGATCAACCTGCTCGCACTACCGGTTTTGGAGCCTTACTCCATCATTAGGTGAGCTTGGGCAGATATCGCAAAATGACAACCACAGCGCAGAGTAGTTAATTCCGACTTGTCGGAAAGTATCGGTTAGATATTAAGTCCCGAACGGGAGATAGCGGCCTGCGTATAGACTTTTGACTCAATAGAAGGCTCTTGACTCAGTAAATCCTAAGGCTATAATAGAAGCCTTAGCAAAACAAGATATTGGCAGATCTTATATAAAAACTCTTGTCAATATATACATAGAAACTAAAGCAAGAGGAGTGATATATAAAACCCCAGATGCCCCAACTGGCAAAGTATAGGATGATTCCCAAAGCTCTTTACAGCAACACTAAAAGAAATAATCTGTAGTCATCTGTAGTTAACTGAACTGGACCAACAAATGAATAAAAATAGATGGAGAATATCTCAAACATCTAGGTTTCGCTAATGACATAGTCCAAATTGTCAATAGCCCTGAAGAATTACAAACACAACTTAACGAACTAAATACAGCAATAAAGTGGGCCTCAAAATGAATTTACCAAAAACTAAATTAATGTAAGTAAAACGAATTAGTAGACAGAAAAGACATTCTAATAAATAACACAATACTGGAAATAGTAGAAATTATGACAGGGCTTCTATAAAAACTCTATATATGAAAATGATGAAATTTAAATATTATTATGAAATTCCTGTGTATATTCATTTGTGGCATCTAATACGCAGCTTGAGATTCCAGAAATCAACAGAAGAATTAAGTTAACACGGTATACTTATGGAAGAAACTAAATCATATTCAAATCTAGAACGTCACTTTATCTAAAAAAGGAAACATTCGACCAATGTGTACTACCATTCATGACCTATGCATGCAAAACCTGGTCACAACGTTTAATTGAACTAAATATGCTGGGAATAACCAAAAAAGACTGTAAAAGAATAGAGTGGAGACGACAAAAAAAAACAGGTAATAATGTGTGTAGAGATTAGCAGCGATAACTTGGGTCCAAATAGCCAACAATAGACGACCATGGACCCAACTACAAAGAGAGTATCTAAATATTTGAGGGAGGCTACACCATAATTGGAAATGGTTGAATAAGCTGAAAATGATATATTATTTAAATATATTATTTGTATAATATTACTTTTGTAAAATCTAATAAATATTGTGTAAATCAATTATAATTTTATATGTTGTCAGCATTAAAAATTAATATTAAATTATATTACTTGTTACTTTTAATAAATATAGCAAGCCCAAGCTCAAATTTTATGCATAATAATCCATATATTTCCGATTATCAAAGCAATATTCCATAAAATGCCTAAGACATGGATATAATATAATTTATTACATACAATATTTGCCTGATAGGCTGAGGATATTCCTAGAAATTTTTATTTGTTTGATTGATTCCTCTTATTTCTGTTTGAAATCCTAATAATTCTCTTTTACGACAATATCGATATAACCATTGGTTCAATATTTGTGGCCGACAAATATGCATAGACAACATCCCGAAGCGGCTATGGGCCCTCCTCTCTATCTCTATATACCATCCGACCAGCACAATGCTATTGTTTTACCTGTTTTATTCATATGTTAATGTGGGAGAATCATTCTCTGATATATTCCGTACATGTATCCGGCACCTAACACAATCCCATTGGTCAGATGTGAATTTTAAACGGATCAAACTCCAAGTGTCATACGCGAGTATGGAATGTAAGAGAGTGTCATGCGCACTTACGGAATGTAACTGGTAATTATGCTTGCAGTAGAAAGTAACGCCTGGCTATAGCTATTGTTGCAAGAGTAGCTGTGGCTCCGTGACTGAGGCCATCGCTTCGTGAACGAGAGGTCCGTGGTTCAAATCTCAAGCCGGACCATAACTTTTTTATTTATTTACAACTGTTTTTATTTTTTATAAAAAGCTGTAACTATTTAATAGGAATCAAAATACGGATTGCGTTGGTTTCACTCTCTTTGGTGAGGTTAGATTGATTATTTCGTGGAGTTAGTTGGGTTGGTTAAGATGGTTATTTAGTGGGATTGATTGCGTTGGTTAAGTTAGCTATTTGGTGGGGTTGGTTTGGTTTTGGTTAGAATGCTCTATAACAAAGCGTTAATAGTAATGTCTAAGGTACATTCTGTAAGTGCATATGGCACTGTCTTACATTCCATACTCGCGTATGGCACTCGGAGTTTAATTGGTTTGAAATTCAAATCTGACCAATGGGATTGCTAGGTGCCGTATCCATGTACGGAATGTATAAATGCATACCGGGTGCGTCTCAAAAGTGATTCACTTCTATAACTTTTTTACTTTTTTTAGATAAAAATACGAGATTTGGAATGTTAGTATATGGTATAAATTAGGATTGATTGACGTATTTAGTTGTTTTTGGTCACTTCCTGGTTCACCGGAAATTACCACAACTTTTGATTTTTAAATGGCACCTCGGTATCTCTCTTTTTCTATCTTTATTCCTACAAGAGGAATATAGTGATCAGGTGACGTGAGAGGTTTGTCTCCATAATTCCCTGTCTTGTGCTTCATGTACAAGCGTGTGCAGTGGCTTGTGGGTTATCTTTGATAACTGGTTTATCAATCGGGAGAGCGAGCGGTGTATTGTTCTTCTTCCTGAAACCTTGCCTTGTATAACGAGTTTCTCCCTACAGTTAGAATCCCTCCTCATAACGCGACCGAAATATTTAAGTATATGTGACTGTATAGAAATTGAGAGACGGTCTGTGATGTTCAGTTCTTGGGTTCATAAGTTCGCCGGGCCGTCCAGGGAATTCTGAGCATTCGTCGCCAACAGTACATCTCAGTTGCGTCATTTTCTTTTTCATGTGTGACTGTCTCATCGTCCAGGACTCGAAGCCATACATTAATATGGGAAATATAAAGCAGCGAGCAAGCCTTTTTTAAGTGCTTAGATATGTTTTTGTCTCGCCATATCTTTTCTCCTATTTTTCGCACTGCTACTCTTGTCATTTCACATCTTCTTCTTATTTCCACTTCTAACGATCCTGTGTTGTTTATAAGTGACCCAAGATATATATATATATATATATATATATATATATATATATATATATATATATATATATATATATATATATTGAGAGTTATATATTCCCGGATATATAACTCTCCCGAAACAACTTTTATAGCTTTATTGTTTTTCACAATGATTTGATGAAAAGCGGAAATGGACACGAAACAAGTGAGTAAACAAAAGGCTCGTTACATAATTAAAAAATAAAAAAAACATATAATATGAGAGGATAAAATATAATTTGCAATATTATAATAATTAAAATTATAATTATGTACATTTAAAAAAATTCATTATAGCCGAAATAGCCCCAATTATGCCCCACTAGAAGAACCGGTAATTAAAACTATGCTTGTTACCGTAGCTGAACTCATCTAAAAATCTTATTTTTTTAACTGTAATAATCAATTATAATACAAGTTAGACTAAGATATCTGAAGATATAAAAATATTTACTTTTTTATTTTTTTTCATTTTTAGAATTTTCACAAATTATACTGCCTAACACTTTTATTTAAACACGTGTATTTGTAAGTACGAGTCGTTTACGATATTCTCCGATGGTGGCAGCACCGGCAGTTTAATTACAAAATACAAGAGTTACTCAATTTTTTGTGATGTTCTCTTATATTTATAGATTTTGTCTATACCAATAAAATTATTGTAGATAAATTCAAGAATATAG